TCATTTTTCTTTTTTTTTTTTTTTTTTTTTTGGTTAGAAAAACTTATTTTTATATTGTTCATCCAATACAAGAACCAATCCAAAACTCTATATGTTACTAAATGAGGTTGTAACAGAGTTTTAAATTTAAGAGGATAGGTAGATAGTGGTTTAACTTGAATAGTTTTAGATTATAGTTATTGGGAGTATGTTTGTAGTGAATTAAGGAAAAAAACGTATATTTTATAACTTCCTCCTTACCAATGGAATATGATGGGAATTAAGATGAGTGAACTTAATGTAATGGTCTGGAATGGAGGAGCCATAAAATGGAATTGATAATAAAATAGCGATATATATCTCTCTATAATCTGTCTATATATATATATATATATATATATATATATATATATATATATATATTTATATATCTTTAATTTGTCTCTCTCTCTCATATATATATATTAAACATTTCACTTTACAAAGCATATCAATGTCACTTAAAGTTTAAAGATGTTAATGATTTCAAGTAAATTTGATTTTATTAAAAAGGAAGGACGGAGAACAAGATCAAATCATTATTTGCCCATTGGCATTACATTTGAATATTTGAAGATTATAGCTATCAGGAAAGCAATTAAGAGGAAGGGAATGTCATAGACGGAAAGAGGCCAACCTAATAGCACGCTTAAATTCATGCACTTTGGGAACCAGTGAAAGTAGCTTTTCAGAGCAGTTGCCGTGAAAATATTGTATATAATGACAGATTCATTTCAAAAAGTGGAAATTTGTGAGAAAGTGACGATAGACTAGACAGACGATTAGGACCTTTCACATTGTATGTCTCTGGGTTTTGCCGAGGACCTCGAGACGAACAGAAACGTGTATATATATATATATATATATATATATAGTTACGTCTCGATGTATTTGATTATAGTGGTGAAGTCTTTGTGCGGAACCAACCACACTTTTTTTTTCTCAATACAGATATAGGTGCACTACTGCCACAAGGTCCCCAAATATTTTGATGCAATTTTTAATTTCTAGACCAGTTCCCATTCAAGGGTATAGAACCCAGTCTTTCCTCCATAGCTGGAGGGAGAAAAAGAAAAATTTAATATACCCCAATATATATGAATGTACAAGTTTCGAACTCAGCTCTCCGATTCCTCAATCCGAATCATTATCCAAGATTATATATATTATATATATATATATATATATATATATATATATATATATATATATATATATTATATATATATATATATATATATATATATATATATATATTATATTATATTATATTATATATATATATATATATATATATATATATATATATATATATTTATATATATATATATATATATATATATATATATATATATATATATATCAAAGTATAATTTTATATACGGAATGAATTCCCATAACCAACAATTACTATTCTTAAAAAGTGCTCAATACAAAGTAGAAAGATATAATTATTTTTATAAAAAAATTATAACATAAATATGTTATAAAATCACTACAAAAAAAGCCATTTTTTTTAAACATTTCTGTTTTTCTTAAATCAAGTGATGTTTTTAAATAAAATGGCTGATTTTGTTTTAATGATTTTCATAACATATTTACGTTTATAATAATTTTTTTAATATTATAAAAATAATATATATAAGTATATATATATATATTATATAGAGAAATCGTTTAAAAGTTTAATATGTGTATTTCAGTTATCCATCCCTATAACGGTTTTGATACGTAGGTGTACTAAGAAATCTGCAATTGAATGTCACTAAATACCATTTATTTTACCCAATATACACTTTTTTTTAATCCCCGTCGTTGTCAATGCACTTAATTCATTAGTAGACATCAATCACGTAGATCAAAATTCTGTTTAAACTCAATTTTAAAGATACAGACACACACATCTGTTTTTCATTGTGTGCGTATCTCTATATTTGAGAGAACTTTTTTGAAATTAATAAATCCACATCAATGAATAATATATTCAATATACATAAAAACATACATACACACACACACACACACACACCGAAAAATATTAAATATTTATGTTGCTTCTCGAGACATTCTCATTAACATTTTTAATAAAATAAAAATTCTAAATTTGACCTTATTTGTTATTGTTAAACTTCGGATTGAATGTGACGAAAATTGATTTATTACCTGTCGACTACAACAAATTCTAATACCAATAAGCAAACACGCTCGAAAATGTCTGTTTGTTTATATTAAACAAAATTGTAATTATTTTATTTATGAGCTTGGGTCTTTTTGTAACAGATAAAATAAAAATGATAAAAAAAACGCGAATGTGATAGATTTAATAGGTAGTCGATAAAGTGAATAAGAGAGATGACTGGAACGTCAAAAATTTCAAGCTGAGTCTGTCGTTATCTTTCTTGAGTCCTTGTTAACTCGACCCGGGCTTTGTTGTATTTCTCCAATTAACATCATCGACTCGCAATAAAATAGGTAGGTGTCTGTAGAATTTCATTCTCGGAATGGACACACGCCGGTAATAAGATATTTTTACATTAAGGCAGGTGTTCCCCAGGGTTCTATCTTTGGACTGACGTTATTCTCCGTTTTTTACCAATGACCTTTATTAATGTTTTGATTAGTGATCTTGGTGACATCATAACTGTGAGTTCAATTATCGGGCTGGGTAATACGTCGCTTCACATTCAGTGAAAACGCAGTTAACAATAAATGAACGATTGACCAACACAAGATATCCATAGATATGGAAGCCCAGATGGAAACAATTAACACCCGTATATAGAATACAGGATTCGTTTCGAAATTCCCGGAAGGTTACCTGGATTTGCAAACACTTCAAGAAGTCCCCAGGGTTCAACAGCTGAAACGTGGTGATTGTAAAAAAAAAAAAAAAAAATAGGACATTCGTATGGCTGGAAACAAAGCTAATTTTCATTGGTCATAATCTGAGCTTCCTTTTTGTAGTAATGATATATTCCGTTGTTATAATAACACGAGTAATTACTCGAAGCCAGTAATTGGATTTCATTTGCGCAATATTGCTCTTATAATTATTGTGTTTTGTGTTAACTCTCTTTGGATATTTTTACTTTTAAACATCCCATCTCTGCCTCCCATCATTATGGCTGATGCTAACCTCCAGGATAAGTGACTCTTTGCGCCTTCTCTGGCTAACATCCTCAGCAGATATGAACTGGAAAGATAATATTACATTGATTGTTGGTTTCCTGTCATGCGAGACAATTTTTCTCTCCCGAATCTATCTTACATATCTATAAGTCTGCCATTCGTCCAGGCTTAGAATATTGCTGCCACATATGGTCCAGTGCCCCTGCTATTTGCTTTAAGCACCTTGATAAGATCCAAAGAAGAATCAGCAATATTATTGGTTCTGATCTGACGATTCTACTTTAGTTACTCTCCCACCGCCCTAAGTTTGCCTGTCTGTGTCTCTCCTATAAATTATTTCATGGTAATTCTTTGGATGTGCTCTTCGTTATCATACCATGGCTTTTTTTTAAAAATTAAAGCGCAGTACTAGACTGGCGTCAAGATCCCATTAATTTGCAGTTGTGTTGGATAGATGTTCCTGTAAATTCTATGCTAACATTTTCTTTTCTCGCACTTCTTGCTCGTGGAACTCCTTTCCGCTCTCATTTTTCCCAGCCAATTTTAATCTGCAAAAATTTAAATGTAATGTCAATCACATATATACTATCTTCCTGATTACTCTTTTCTCTTTCCACTCATTATTAATGTTTCTGTTCCTAATTCTTCCACACCCTGTAACCCGCTTGTGTCTTAGTAGCTTCATCGCCTTACATTGGGTGATACCGATTTAAAAAACAAAAAAAAACAAAAAAAAAACTGACAAGCAGAAGAATTATTTCTTACAAGTAACAATAGATTTAACTGGGATATTAGAGGCATTTGAAATCATTTCCAATGTATTTCTGTTCATCAATCAATTATTTAGGGTAAGTGTTCATCTAATAAAAATATTCTCGTATACTTTTATTCACAACACAGCAAAATAAAATCCATATTAATCATAAACATCTATTTAAGTGCATTTAGAAATTGTAACTCTCAATATTTACAGAATGGAGAGTGAATTGCATAAAGAACATTCAAATTACTCATGTAGAAAATATAACCAATGCCACTACAGAATTAATTAACAGAGATTTTTGATAAACTCCAAAGAATCTGCAATGTTATTGGTTCTGATTTGGCATCTTAGCTTCAATGAATTTTCACCATCGTAACGCTTCTCTGTGCCTTTTCTCTAAGTATCTTCGTGATTATTGTTCTGATGAGCTTTCCCCTTTGGTACTTCGGCTTTACGAATTTATGTTCAGTACTAGATTGGCAGCTAGGTCTCATCATTTTATTTTTAGATTGGCAACTGTGTCCCACCATTTTTTTGATGCAATCACAAATTGCTAACAGTTTCTGGCATTTCTCACCCATGGAACACTTTTAAGGCTTCTTGCTTTCCAGTCAAATTTGATCTTCAAAAATTCAAACGCAATGTCAATCGTTATCTTTTTTCCTCGATTTCTGTTCTTTTATTGTCCTCTCCCGTTAATAATAATTTGTCTTACATTATTTCATTATCAGTAACTCCTTGCGTTTTAGTGACTGTTTCACCTTGCTTAGCGTGATTTTTTTTTTTTTTTTTTTTTTTGAAGTGTCATTCATAGATACGCAATTTTCGAACTTGTAGTTCATTTGAGTTTGGATATATGCTTTTTTTTTGTATTAATGTATTCTGTCTAAGAGTGCACATACAACAATGATTTCTTTCAACAAAAACATTTCTTCTGTATCCTTTACCGAACGAGGAATTCTAAGATCGTTCATTTGTCTTTGAATGCCTCAAACTGTATGCTTTTCTTTGTGGGTATGTTGTCGATGATTGAACACCGAGTAATTAACATTTATTTATGTTTTTTTTTTTTTTTGGTTCTTTTCAACAGAGGCTGAGTGTTTGGAAGTCGAAAGCCGTATAAGTTCTGACGACAAGAAATACATTAGTTCCCCTGAATTCCCACGTCTATACAAACGGTCAGTAAGGTCAGCCTCGCAAAGCGACGGTTGTTTTTAATATAAAATAATTTTTGTTCTGCTTTTGTTATTTTGTTTTGTTTTTTTTTGTTTTGTTTTTTTTTTTTGTTTTGTTTTTTTGTTTTTTTTCATACCTTTTGTTTGTATTTGTCCAATGTGAATCCAACAAGAAAAAAATTAAGAAGCTGATGATTTTTTTCATGGGGGGGGGGTTAATTTTGTCTGAATCAAATTACTAAAACCTTTATCCTTACTCGTTCGTGAAATATCTGCTTAGAATTTTCCTTTTTTTTTTTTTTTTCTTTTTTTTCTTTTTTTTTTTTTTTTTTTTTTTGGTACGCTGAAAGCCTGATTGTGTCGATTCGATTTTTATTATTATCAACATTTAAAGGTCTATAGGGAAAACAATATGTGAACTGCTGTGGAACGATAAAATATTTTATGGCGTTTTGTTATCCTATCTTCAAAACCATTCAAAGAAAAGAAAAAAAAGAATAAAAAAAATAGTTTCTTTGGCTTGTTTCGCAGAAATCTTAATATTTTCTTACCCTGCTGTTTCTTTTAAGCTTACGGTCACATCATGTTAAAACAGCTGTCCCCGTACGATCACCGAAGTTAAGAAACGTCGAGCCTAGTCAGTACCTAGATGGGTGATCACTTGGGAATACCAGGTGCTGTAAACTTGGGTGATGTAATGGATAATCGTTCGGAATTCTTAATCTGAGTTATACAGTGTGACCCAAAAACACGGGAACTTTTAACAATCTAATAAAACTAAGAGTGATGGGAGAAAAATATTTTATTCATAGTAATTGAAACCTTAAAACATGCCATTTAAGAAACAATGATTGAATTTTCATTTTTTGAAAATTACATCCTGTAGATGGCGTCCTCCTGTACGAATGCATTCTTGAAATTTGCTGTTGAGATTCCTCATTGACTGCTGCAACATCTCAACTGGGATACTGTGAATTTCATCTTGTATTCTCAATGGCGAAATGTTTACTTGCTCAAGGTCACTGTCTCGCAGCATTGCCACTTGCTCATGTCTGGCAATACGTACTTAAAAAATTCCCGTTTTTTTGGGGGGTCACTTTGTATTTATTTAATCAAAAATACTCTTGGTATGAATGTACTTCTCACTTATGGGAATTATCCATCGCCGTAATGTAGCTTTTACTGTCTCTTTTCTATAAATATTTTCATGGTAATTGGTCTGATGAACTTATATGGTACCCGGACTTTATGAATTTAAGAGCAGTACTAGATTGGCGGCATGGTCTCATCATTTAACAGTTGAAATGGCTAGATGTAACTGAAAGTTCTATGCTAATAGCTTCTTCTATCGCACTTTTCACTATTTCTTCTTTCCCAGTCAACCTTGATCTTTAATAATTTAACTGTAATGTCAATCGTAATCTTCTGTATTCTTTTTATTGTCCTCTCTCCTTAATAGTAGCTTTTCTCATTTTCTCTTACTCAGTAACCCATTGTGTCTTAGTGGCTTTATTGCCTTGCTTGTGGTAAAATGATGGAATTTGAAATGAAACAAATTATTAGGATTTTACGTATTTAACAAGCAACTCAAGTCAAATAATTATGGAGGCTAAGAAATTGCAATACTAAATACGATTATTTTTCCTAGGTGGCAAAACAACTATGAAATATAAGTTACCACTAGACCAGCAGAAAACGTTAACTTAAGTAAAACTGATTCACGTGACTCAGTTTTGGGTTGAAGAAATAATTATGGTCTCTTGAGAAAATCGTCGAATTCACGGCGGCTCGTTTTAAATGAAAAATAGTTTTTTTTTTTTGCCTTTGGCCTCAATAAATCTTGATAAAAAAACGCATTTGGATGTTTAGCATTATTTTCAATGCAACAATTTTTCAAAACAGAAGAGATAAAGCATCTTTATATATGTATATATTTTTTTCCATAGAACGTGTTCAGACGAACTATTCCTTATTCTAACTAAACATCACGGCATGCTTTTGCCATCAATGTCCTCGTTATTCCAATATATAATTATATATATACAGTTCAAGTGACCCTCATATATATATATATATATATATATATATAGTCAAAGCACCTTTTTAACACTCATTCCCCCCTCTATTCCATGGTGAGAATTTCCTATAGTGGCACCTTTAAATTCTTTCATTCCCTGGTGATAAAGAGCAATTTTAAATAATTCCTCTATACACTGGTTTTGGTATTTTTTTTTGCGACTCATACATATTTGGGTTCCCTCTATATATATATAAATATATTCTATAGTAGTACACTTGTTCCCCTCTTGAGAAAAGAATCAGCATCGAACTCTAACGAATTTTAAGTTCTAGTCAAAATATTTTCCCACGACCTTTTCTCTCTATTAATAAGAAGTAAGTTCTAGCAACATGAACACTTTTTCCTTCTTTTCCACTGGTGACTAGTCAAGTTGAAACCTTATAAGCGATACACTCATTTCAATTCCGCTAATGAGAAGTATTTTCTATCAAAAAAAAAAATATAATCTCTATTTCCATTAGATAAGTCACAACCTTCTACCTATATTTTATCCTTTCACTGGGAAAAATGTGATTAAAAAAATTTTATTTTTTTTCTATTCCACTGGTAAGTTTTTTTCTCAAAACAGAAAGATGCCAATTTTATTCCACTGGCATCTTTCTGCTTCCCCATACCTACACTCATTTCCCCTCTATTCCATAGGAAAGATTAAAATATTTCAAAACCTACAAAATTCCCCATTCCTGGTGAAAGTAAGTTCTAAATTTTATTCTTCCAAACATCACGGCCTACACTCATTCTATTCCAGATGGCAGAAGTAAAAATCTAGTCAATGATCTTCCCACACCTACCTCAGAACTATTCCACTGGTGAGAATAAGTTCTAGTCAAGTTCCCATGGACCTACACTTTCCCTTATTCCACTGGTGAGAAGAAAGTTCATGGAATTCCCAAGGCCCTCTGATTCCGAGAGTGAGTTAAAAACTAGTCAAATTAATTCATTACACACTCATTCCCATTCCAATAATGAAAAAAATTCTCTATTACCATTCTGGTTCCACTGGTGAGAAGTTTTTTAGTCAAGCAGCACCTTCCCAAACCTAAAATTCCTCTCTGGGACTGGTGAGAAAAAGTTCTACAATAAAGCACCTTCCTGATATTGGTAGACCTCATTCCCTTCTATTCCACTGGTTTTTTTTTTTTAAATCATTTTCTCAAGTTGAATTTTCCCCATTTTTTTTCCCAAGGACCTAGAAATTGCTTTTTTGGTGAAAAGGAACCGACTTTTAGCAAATTCTAAAACCCACAATCATTGAAGAAAAGTTCTTTTTAACAATCATTTTAAAGACTATTCCAAAATTTTTTACAGTTCCTTTAACGACCTACATCTCCCCTATTCCACTGGTGATAAGTTAGTCGAAGGATAATTCCCTCTGCCCCTCTATTCCACTGGTGAGAAGTAAGTTCTAGTCAAGCAGCACCTAACACTCATTTTCTCTATTCCAAGGTATTCCTAGTCAAGCAGATTCCCGTTACCTACACAATTTTCTTTCCACTGGTTTTATAAATAAACCGACTTTTTCTGTTTTTGTAATATTAACAGTTCAGTTAACTGACATTAAAATCGTTTGGAAAATAAATTCACTTCAAATTACAGGTATTAATAATTTTTCTGTTCCCTAATACTTGCTTAACGTTTTGGAAAGGCGCATTGGGATATAAACATGAAAATTTCATTGAATACAATGAAAAGAATACTGAACAGCTATGGTACATATATGGCAGTGAATGCTGTATAATTTCGTCACAGATGAAGAAGTTAATCAAAGCCATTTTTAACCATTGATTTAAGAAAGTGGTTATATACAGCTGACAGTTTAGATATTTCTGAACGGATGTGGGGCCATACATGAGGGCCTCGTTCTGACGAGGCTATTTAAGGACATGATTCTAGTTTTCAGATTAATGTTTTCGTTTTGTAGGAATTGGCGGTGTTGCGTGAAACTACATTTAGGGCAGCCTAATTTATAGACTTGTGTAATGTTCTAAGTTAACTTTAAAAATCTTTTGTTTTTTATATAAAATAATATATTAATAATAATTTAAATTTTTTTTTTTTTTAAAGAAAAATATGGAATATTCTGTAATTCATTCATTAACTTTGCTTCTGTTTTAGTTAAAAATTAGTAATTTTCTAAGCGTAGTTTAGAGGTGACAAAAGGCCAAAAGTTTGAGGCATTCCGTAGAGATAGAACTCAATAACAGTCGTAATTGAACTAGCCTAGCTATCACCACAAATTCGCTAAAAACAGCCTGATAAAAAAGCCCCAAACTTGATGAAAAGATTTATCTTCTAAATTTTTATGTTATTATTAAGAAGAAAGAGCAAAGTATTTTTTGATTATTTTTTTTTATTCCTTCCTAACGCGTCCGAAATTTTAGTTAATTTTTTTTTTTGAGTAAGCTAAATAGCCCAAAATATTTTATATTCGTCATTTTTTTTAAATTTGTAATCAAAAGTTAAATTCTCCGTTTAAAAATTTTGTAAAAATCAATTATACCTTTTTCAAAAGTTATTTGAGAAAAATTAGAAAAGTTAAAGTTTACTTAATGTAACTGGAAACTTTTTTAGAAATTTATTTGAAAATAAGAGAAGCCGTTGTTTTGGAATTGTGAATTGACGCTTACGTCAATGTATCGACAGCTTATTGGACGAAAGGACAGAAGTGAAAATATTTTCGAATTTTAAGCGAATTAGCTTACTTAACTATACAGTAGTTTTTAAAATTTAAATACTTTGAAATGTCTATTTTGATATTGATTTTTAGGTACCTTTTTTGGTTAACGTAGATACGTCCGAAGCCAGCACTTTTTCTGTCCCTAAAATTGAAACTAAAAAAGAAAATAGTTAATTATTACAGTATGTCTCTCACTGAAAAACAAACTAATTATATTTTAAAATTAAAATAAAATATTTAGTGAAATAGGATATGAAAAGGAAAATTAAAAATTTTGAAAATGCGACGATGACGATCAGTCAGAATTTAACACGTGCTCATCAGATGGAAAACAAAAATTTTCTGACCATAGATGCTTGGTGTCAGGGGAAACAACTCTTCATGCACGTGACATTTATGTATCAAAATTCATCCCTATAGTTAGAAAAAAAAACTTTTTAAAACTTTTTCGCATACTCAAGAAATATTTTTTTTTTTTAAATACATGTGTATCGCAGATTGTAATAAGCTTTCAAATTTATGATCTGTAAAAATAGATCTACTTAATAACAGTGTTCCCTAAATGCACGGTTTGAAACAATTTTAAAGTATTTAACACATTTATCATATTTTGTATGTAAAATAGACAAAAAAGAAAACAATTCTTATAAAAATTCATTTTTCATCGGAAAAATATTTTGATTTCAGACAATATTGACCTTAACATATATTATTCATAAAAAGCCATTAAAAGCCTTTTCTAATGAAATAATGTCCTAGTTTTATTAAGTTTTGTAGTTTACAATTCAGATCTGAATTTTGGTTATCTGCGTATTTCGATTTTTACAAAAAGTCGATTATTTATATTCTTCAAGGTCTTCTACTTTCAAGTAATAAATCACTAAAAGGCATGCCGTCGAAGTTCTAGAATTTTCTTAAAAATTAAG